GGGAGGCGAAGTGGGCAAACAAAAAGAGGGGTAGACAACCCACGGAATGGGTCAAGGTTGTAGAGGACGTTTGGAAGGGGCTCGACATCGACGAAGATTAAACGCTGGAAACGGAGGGTCTACAGGGGTTCAAGGAGAAGATATCTGTTGCTTGTGCCGAGAGAGAAGAACAGAAACTGAGGAAAGAAACCAAGGAACAGGAGGGTCTAGAAGTGTACGGAATGTTGAAGGAATAGGGTTCAAGGATTACCTACATGGACCAATGGATGCAGGAACAAAGCCTGNAGCTGTACTGGGGCACAGGAGGTGGGTTGAAAAGGCGGCAAGGGATATTGTTAGGATAGACAGGCCAGGGAAGACATTTTTGAACCACCTTTGGCAAAGTAGAAAGGAACGATTGGCCATCGGTGATCGGTCCTGTGGGAACAATGTTTCGTCCTCTCGAGGCCGCGTGGTCAATGGTCTAACCGCTAAGGCATGCAAAACATAAGAGTACTCCCCCCCCTCCCCCAAAGACAGATTGCTACACTCTCTGCAGGGGTAGAATACTAGCACAGCCGAAAAGAAAAGCGATTCAGTAGTGCAGCTACGCCATGAGAGGTGCCGAACTCCTCCGACTACCTGAGAGCTTCTGGAGCTCCTGTCCGGTGCTTCTTGTACGACGGGGAAAGGTCATGTCTGAAGTTGTCGTCACCCGTGTCGAAGACCACCACTACCTTCCGCCGCCGCTCAACGCCTTCAGCCCAAGGCTGCAGCACCTGGGGGGGGGGGGGGGGNGGGGGGGGGGGGGGGGGGGGGGGGGGGGGGGGGGGGGGGGGGATTAAGTGATATCGTCATTTGCTGGAGAGAAAAACTAAAACAGATGGCAACGCAAACCGTGGTAAACCTACTGTAGCTTATTAAGTCCCAATCACACCTGAATCTAGCAGACCAGACCCCTCTGGACCACGATACTAATAGTATGATACCAAGGACACGATGGCATGAGAGGAAAATCTCAGGGATGGATCGCATGGCCCAGGAACAAAGCAGTGGGAGCACGTATCAACGTAAACCAACTACGACCGCGGCAAAAAGGGTCGGCCACAACTACGACACCGCCGCCGTCGCCGTCTACCAAACGGCACGCTCGCGGCCTGTGGTGCGCAGCGTGCAGCCGCGACGCTCACCAACTTATTCATGGCGTTGCAGAACCCAACCAGCGCCCCTACCGGTGTCCCATCAGCCGCTGACAGGTGCGGCATGCCGTGAAAGGAGCGGTACGTGATGTAATGCCCGTCAACTATCACCACAGAGGACGCGGACGGGTCCACCGGTAGTTCGTCGTCATCTGGAATGAGCCGGCTCGACCAGCTTGGTATGTCCGCCACCTTCTCACCTGTCGAAGTAGGGTCCAGTAAGCAACGGCAGCCATATTCGATCGATGTAGCTAGACATGATATATACCTAAGTTGTCTGTTTCGGTCATGACTCACGGCTGATGATAGTGCCGACCGTCCTTGTCACCTTGGTGGCCATCTGTGCACGCCGCGTATTGTTCACGCGATTGAACAGCAGTTAGCACGGCACCGTAATACTTGGGAGCTGTGTCGTGCGCTACTTGGGTACCAACCGGAGCCACACCATTCACCATTTTTCATGATATTCTCTGGGGCCAGTCACAAGGGCGGGATTTGATTATGCTGCCTTGGAAGAGCATGGATTACGAAGAGGTCGGGGGTAGAAGTTAGTAATACGCAGCCAACTACATCGGAGAAAGCACAAACGCAACAACAACGCCCTGTCGAACACATGCAGCAGTCCACCTACCCTTCAACCAGCAGCAAAATAGAACCCAACTAAATCGAAAACGAACCTATTGTACACAGCTAGCCAGGGACCTTACCTTATGCAGAGCAACGTGACGGTCGCCCTGGTTGACACGTTGACCCTGGTTGACACGTTGACACGCCCTTGACTAGTCACTACAGCACTCCTCACCGGCAGCGACGAATCCTCCTCGTTTAACCACCGCCTTAGCATCCAACCATCGCAGCACCAGCTCGACCAGCTCGCGCTTAGCCGGGTCTCGCTCAGCCTCGAGCACAGACGAAAGCGTCTTCACCGACACCGACCTCGGCTTGGGGCGACCGGCGGCCGTGAGCGCTGCCGGTCTGCCGGCTTGAGGGTTGACGACGCTCATGTCGTCGTACAGCACCTGGAGATACGAATACGGGGACACAAGGTTTCACAGGGGGTATACGCCTTCTATAGAAAACGAAATCAAACCATTAAACTAGTTTTCGTTTTGATTTCGGCTTCTAGACCATTTACTGGTACACACGTGGCTGCAACACCACGAGTCATGGTTGTCATGTGTTCGCTGTAATGGTCGTTTTTCGTGGTACGGTATTCATCTGTTGCGAGAAAGACAACGCTGACATCATAGAAAACGACTGCCTGGGGGGTGGAGACTCGGAGGAGTGGTCTTGCAGTGCACTCCTCACACAGAGGGTTCGAGTTTGGAGCCAGTTCCTGGCGGTTACAGCGGTTACAGCAACGGGTTAGGGACGGAACGGTAACGGCGAGACTCGTCGAGCGGTTACACCCCCATTTGCCGACGCTGGTCAAAGGGAGAGGTTACGGAACAGACACACCACCAACAGCACTTCGAGTTTCGAAGGGGGGGTTGATGAGGCCAAAACCTCTCCTCTGCTAAGCGGCAACTCGGTGTATGTCGCACACGACCAGCCAGCGAAACGCGTAGTGCCGTACCGCACAAGTACGTGCGTTTCACCGGTTCACCGTTGGAGGCAACTACTGCTGTACATTTTATTTACACTGCAGCAGCGCTGCCATTGAATATTGCGCGAACCTTGGCCAGTACAGAAGGCTTGCCGATGTCGAACTCTCTCCCCACGATTTGATGGATGCGTTCCGCTACGCCCCCGGCCCTTTTGGATGCACCAAGGCTACTCCTCGAGTGTGCGGCGGAACGACGAACATGATGATGATGGTGGCACGCAGCAGGCACGAGTGCCTTGACCAATCGGCTACTACGCTTCGCGAAAAACGTGGTGAGTCCCAGCGCAACAGCAGCAGCAGCAAGCGAAGGGTTTCTCATAAAGAGGGAAGAGGGGGAGAGGGAGCGGTAGGGCCACGCAGGAGAGAAATACTAGGCTGGCGCAACAGCCGTGCTCCACGTGAGATGTGGAGGAGATGATACCCACCCCCCCTAATTCTAGAAGGCATTTTGCGGAGCACAGGGCCATTCGCCCATCGCGTGCTGAACATTGCACACGTGTCTTACTTACACTTGCTCACTCGTGCCCTTTCACGCAGACAGAGACCCACCACGCTCACCAACGACTAGCGCCAAGCCAAGCGAAGACACACCATGGCTCCTATGAAACTGTCGATATCATTCATTGCCGTGCTCATCGCCGTCTTCGACGGCGTGGATGGCTTCGTGGGACCGGTGCCTGTTGGCACGAGGACTCGTGTCGTCCGCCGCGCAATGGCAACAAACGGCCTCCATAGCAACACCAGAGTTCAAGCACGATCGCTGCCGCGGACACTAGAGTCCTCGAGGCTACAAGCTTCCATGTCAGCAGCTCCCGACAAGATGCCATCCCCGGGGTGAGTGCGATCGATGGCTTAACAATCATACATTTTGTGTCGCATGACACGTGTGTGATGTATGACGAGGGCGTATGTATCTGCGGTCGCGCGAGGGAACCAACTGCCTGGTGTCTTTGGTTGCAGTGACTCACCCGACATCGACTCCAGCAGCACCAGCACCAGCACCATCGTTTTCATGGAACGTGGGCGGAACATAAGACGCCGAGACCACCTGTTGCCGTAACCTGTTCCCGCAACTTTGCCCCATGTGGACGTTGGCTTCTTTGCCCCACGTACCCTGTTGGCAGCTAACTTCAAATTGCTTACGTAAAAAAAAGCTACTCGACAGCACTACCGCTCAGCATACGTCAACGGTTGTACGATGTGACGCGTGGCATTCACTTAGGCATGATGGCCGCCCTCTTTCGCTAGCACTCGACCTCACTGTCGAGTAGGGGGCTGGCGTATGTTCTTGCTTGGTTTTGGTTGGGCCACTGCTGCTGCGTGTTGGTCTTGTGTAACAACAGCAACAACAGCCGCAGGGTCCGTGTCGTAAAAGATGCGTGTGCAATCGGCAACGTCACGTTTTTTTTTTGTTTTGTGTGTGGAGAACTCATGCACCAGGCGCGCACACGAACCACCCACAGCAGTATTCGAGGCAGCCTATTGCCCCGTTTCTTTGCGTCCTCTTTTGCCGTTTGGTACGAGCTCGTTTGTGTTGCTATACTGTCTCTCGCACGGAGACGTCGAGCGCCCAATGCAATAGTCGAGCTTCCCGGGAGCTACCCCTCGTAATTTTGCCTTTGAAGTCTTGGTTTTTAGTACAAATGCGTACATCATGTACATAGTTGCCTCTTTGTTTTGTAGCCTTGTGCAGCTGTGGGTGCGTAGACACGAAGGTCCTGGAAGCCAAGTCTACGCTGTTCAGCGTCTCAATACCGCTAGTGTTTGCCGTGCTTTCGTCTCACAGAATCGATGGGGAAGAGGGTGCACCGCGAAAAGGGGGCCGACTCTCACGCATCTCTGGGCGCGTACGGAAGATAATCCGCAGGGCTGTGATGGGCTACCTCCCCGAGGAGGAGATGTCCTACAAGCAGAGGGCAGAAGAGCAGGCAGCGGCGGCGGCGAAACTGCGCGGCGAGCCGGAGGTGAGAGCGGTGGCGTTGGTGGCGTTGGACTGGGACGGTGGCATGATTATGGCCATGGCTGCTGTATTGTTGGCCACGAAGGGGATCTATTCGTACGTGCATCCCGGTTTGTTCGTCTCCACTTCCGTCACAGTCGTCGCGGTTGGAAGATGCCACGGCGGTGTTGGCGGTGTCTTGATGCAAGGGAGAATAGCAGCAGGCCGGGTGTTCCTAAAACCACCACCAGCAACGGTCACGGTTGCCCATCCCCCCCCGCAGCAGCGCACAAACTGCAGCACTCGACGTATTGAATCAGATATCTTTGTATAGACGGCCATAGAACAAATGCCTTGGCAGGTCAGCGAACTGGCTCTCTCCCATGCGCATCAATACCCGTCATATTTGACGCTCGACGCATGTGGAAAGTACATTTTTATGCTTTTGTCGGTACACGTCGCGAGCTCACATCTTCTCCCCCTGTCCCTCTGGCCCTCACGGCGGTGTTATGGCGAATGTTAAATCCTGCTGTTGGTGATGTTGATTCTCTGGGTTCTGCCGGTTTACCTTACTGCCTTACGAAGCACGTGTGAATTTTCTAAATGTCCAGATCGACTTACGTTTTGCTCTAGAACCGTGTGTATGTGTAGAGGCGTCGAAATTTCTAGAAACACGACGATGTTGCAAACATCTCTATTATATATACAAATCACTCACCCCGCATGTAATTTATCGCTTTCCACAAGGCCAGGAACGGAAGCGAGAGAAAAACTCACCGCTGATATTTCCAAGTTAGTTTTTGATATGATCGATACGAAACCCCAAGTGCGGTGACGACGAGGTGACGCTGTGTGTTGAGATCGGTCCGCCGGTGTTGAACGCCTCTTGTATGTCACGGAGTAGTACTGAAGCGATACTGCTTTACTCGCTTGTTGAGTCGAGTTGTATGGATAACAAGCTCAACCACAAGTAATTATCGTGTTTCTCGTGTGCGTATGCACAGGATGAGTAGATGCGTTTGACAGGTGGCAGGAGCAGGATTGCACCCCCCCCCCCCCTTCGCGAAGACCACTTGGAGATATACGGGAAGTTGAAAGAAGGGATAGGGACGAAGAGTTACTTGGACGGCCCCATGGACTACGAAAAAAAAAACTGAAGTTGCAATTTCGAGTAGGCGATCTGGACTTGCCAGAACGGAGGAAGAGGTACAACAGCCGTAGGAGAGAGGAAGAGGAGGATAGACAGACATGTCCATGTGGCAAATCGGAGGACAGTAGACCCCACATAGTTGGGGAGTGTGAGCTGTACAGGAAGGAAAGAGAGGATCTCGAGGAGGACGTGAGACAGAGAGGGTGTGACATGGACAAGTTTGGTAAATTAGACAACAGCGAAAAAACGATCGCGGTAATTGGGGATAGATGGTGGGCACAAGAGGCCGTAGAGGACGGGGATAACATGTGCAAGGAATTTTTATGTAGGTTGTGGCAGAAACGTAAAGAGCTCCCAAATGTTGGTGGTGTCTCTAGTAGGGGTAGGAACGGTGCCCCGTCTCGAAAGGGACGCGTGGTCAATGGTCAAATGACTACGGCAAGCAACAAATGAGTACGCCCCCCTTCGCCCGGTCGTATGGCTCGGTCTGAATTACGGGTCGTGGGTACAGGATCATCGAGTAACACGCTATTGTACTGCTATATGTATCCAGGCCTCCATCATCAGGTTTCCCCTTGACTGCGGCACAAGTGGCATAGACATACTGTATGCATACGCGTTCTTATGTTGGCATTCCATCATGGGTACTCCTGAATCCACGTGGCTCCTTCGCTGCCCACCTACATACCTACATATCGTTCGACACGAGTATCTGACCACAGCCGCTGCCATGAGTTGTATCTTTGTCCCGACAACATTCGTGAAGTCGTTTTGATTTGTGTTGGGCGTCCTGGCACATCGTAACTGCTGTGATCAACGAGAGAAGTCGTTGCCGTTGATGCTGTGACTGACTTTTCCAACGTGTGCAACCGCCGGCGTCTTTCAGATTGCTGATGAGCGTCTGCGGGACGCCTCGATCGCGGCCAAGACCGCAGCAATCGAAGCCGTTGAGCAGTCGTTTGTGCAAGGGTCGTTTACGGGCAACGAGGGCGAGGAGGACGACTGGCTTGCCAGCAGCGACTTCGTGCAGCTCAACATCGGTGACGAGAGTCCAATGGTGAGAGTCAGAGTCAGTCTGTCGCAACGGGGTCATACGCGCTGGTCCGTGGTACTAGCCTTGGCAGGGCTTGGCCGTTGAGTGATTATGTTGGATAATAAATTAGAAAGCAGCAAGGAAGTTGGGCAGGGTTTGCATACAACCCCCTCCGTGTTCTGTTTCCTCTTTTTTTTTAACCAAGATTTTCGTGAAGGTGGTCCGATTGCGCCTCTACTCGTGCCAGCAGCCGTTCTCACTTGTTTTTGCCATCCGAAGCCTCAATTGTATAGTGCACAATGAAGTACGTCTTTGCTACAACTAACACATCACAAAGCGACCGCCCTATCCACATATACCTCCTTTTCCTTCCAAGAAGAGGATGTCTTGCGTGTGAAGGAGCCAGGCTCTCGATCGGACGGAGCTCAGCAGCATGACAGTAGGGAGTGCCGCCAAGTAATGTTTTTTTTGTTTGTTGATGTTGACGTGGCGACGGTTTTGTTCCATCGCGTGATGTGAAGTTTTCCGCTGCATTGTGTACCGCACGATGTGCAGGAAATTGAGGATAAGCTAGCCAGCCTGCGGAACAGGCTCGAACAGGGCTTGCCGCCGGACACGGCTCAGGAGCAGGCGGAGAAGGGACACCGCGCGATGGAACAGCAGATGAGGCGGCAATCATCATCGAGACCACCGAGGTCAGTCAAACAAATACAGTCTGTTGAGGAAGCGGGGCTTTCCGTGAATAGCATAGTCTGTGGCACTTCAATCAAAACAACGCCCACTTCAATCGGTGATTTGCGTGTAGATGGATGAGGCGCTGCTGCATCTTTTCGTGTAAGAGCGATAGTGTGTGTTTCGCTCTTTGTCCGTCGATCGCGCTCTTCAATTTCATGTTCCCCGTGTTGTTTGTTCAACGTGAGTTTGTAAATCAATCTTCCATCGTTGCCAACTCTTTTTTTCTCTTTTTATTTCTGCAGCTTTGATGGAGACACGGCGGTGGCGGAGAGGCCCTCTTCGAACCTCGACGCACGGCAGGCGAACAAGGTGCGTGTCTCGTGTACTGAATCCAAACAAACGCAAACAAAAACATCGGCCGTTTGGGTGACATGTACCATAGAGTAGTGAAGTTCCGTAGAACCAACACGTAACGCGTGCCGGTTCAGAGGTTGTTGTGTTTGGCTTGGGGCACGAAACATGTATGCGGGAATATGTCAACCGTTTCTATCGCACAGCTGACATGTACATGAAGTCAGAAACCGCCTTCAACGTTGTCAGTGCCTCATTATCGTCCAAGATGTTGTGCAGGACGAGCAAGAAAACGCCTTGTGTTTCTGATGTTCCTCCGGTCCGGCTCTCGTTCCTTTTCCTTTGACACCCAGGCTAATCATATTCTGTCCTTTTCTTTCGCTTGTTGCCCGAACAGGGTGGCATGAGACCACAGGCACCAAAAGAGGCTCCCAAGATGGCTTCCGCTGAAGACGTTGAGCGGCTAAAGCGCATGTTTGGCTCCATGGGTGGAGAGCCCTTGCGCTAAACCAAAGCCTGTATAACGATAGCAGTAGCGGTGGGTTGACGAGAGTAGGTTTGGAAACGTCAGTGTATGTCGGCGTTGGGATGGCAGCAGGGCGTCATCCAGCGTATCTGTCCTATTTGGAAGCGTCATGATGTTGTGTGGACACTTGTTGCGTTAGGACGGCAGTTCTTTTTGCCGCCCACAGTTACTCATCTGGTGGCCGGAATAACCACCTGCGAAGCACGTTGTACTTTGTTGTCATGTTGGTGCAGTGCCCACCATATTTTTGTTGCATATATGATCGAGCAAATTGGCGACATGTAGTCAGCGGCAGGTATCGAGAGAAACAAGAGCAGTCACGTATGTTGTCTCGGGTGGTTTGGTCATGGCAGTGGTACGGCGTGCGTTTTTCTCAGCGATGTCGAGAGAGGGCGCCTTACCAAGCGGAGGCTGGCGACACTGCAGCTGTGTTCAAGTAGCACCTCTCATCCGCAGCCGCAATGGTGTAGTGGTTGCTACGTTTTGTGTTTTTGAAAACCGAGCGTAACTGATCAAATGATTTTTGACGATTGCATCCAGTAACAGCAGCACCAAGGAAACACCCAAATTAGAGAGAAACGAGAAAATTGAGCGCACGTTTTCTCAGCTCTGCAGATCGTAAACTTGTTTCGGGGAGAGGGGGGGGGTATATCGCAGGAGGAAGGAACTTGAAGGGGTCTCGGTTTTGACGTTACGCCGTCGATTGCTTTTAGGGGCTGTAGTGACTCGAATTTTGTATCCGTTGTGGTGTCGTATACATAGACCGGGGTGCATGTGCATAAATAGACTGAAGGGTTCATTCCTCATGGCTTGAATTCCGCAGTATCGGGGAGCATTTGTTGGGGTTATTATGAGGAAGAGCTTGATGCACTCACCAAATGACAAAACATGTTTTTTCGTCTCGTGGCGCAGCCCTATGCTTGTGGTTGCACTCGTCCCCCTTTTTTTGGATTCCATCAGGGAGCAAAACACGAAACAGAAAAGCAGTGAAATAATCTGAAACACGTGCCCTGCAAGTGGACGAAGAACCTCGAAGCCGACATCCAGCACGCCAGTCACCCGCACACTACAACAAAAAAGTGAGCGCCAGATGAACTCACCGCGCCTATTCTTGCATCGAAAACATACGGCATGCGACTGTTCCGTTCGTACGCATGGCTTACGGGGCGCCACGTGAACGCGCCCACAAGCAAACATCGGCACTAACACTACATCCAGGCAGGCTGCGAGGAAACCATCGAGGCCACCGTGCGCAAACGGAGACTGTGTTTCGCGGCCTTTGTTATGCGCATGGAGGACAGCCGCCTCCCCAAGCGCATGCTGTTGGGAGCGATGGCGGGGGGCGTGGGATACCGGGGCGGGCAGGAGAGCGACTGGGTGTCTCGTCTAGGAGCGGACCTCGTGGCCTTCAACACGGGAGACGAAAAGGAAGGGGGTAAATGGAACGAGAGCGCCAAGGATCCGGAGGTGTGGTACAACAAGGTCGAGGACAGGGCGGCATGGTTCATGAGGAAATGGCACAGGCAGGAGGCGGAAGCGTCCGTGAAGCGCCAGATCGCGAGGGAAGCAGAAGCAGAGAGTACGGCCATCTCAGGACCGAAGAGAACGAGAGCCGGGGAGGCGGCGGTGGGGGCGACCGGGCACTGCTGTAGAAGCGAGTAGGGCGGCCGAGGCAGCACTTGTGGCGAACTATGTACCCGGCTGATGTTGTNCGCCAGATCGCGAGGGAAGCAGAAGCAGAGAGTACGGCCATCTCAGGACCGAAGAGAAAGAGAGCCGGGGAAGCGGCAGTGGGGGGGGAGAAACGGCGACCGGGCACTGCTGTAGAAGCGAGTAGGGCGGCCGAGGCAGCACTTGTGGCGAGCTATGTACCCGGCTGATGTTGTTGCGCCCTGTTTCCCTCCCTGCTGTATGCTATACTCTTTATGTATGTCCTTTGTATTGCCTTCGGCCTCTGTGCTGTGTTTCTTTTTTTTATGACTTCCCTGCCTACTCTGCTGTGTTGGGTACCTTGATCTCGCTTTGCTGTTGCCTTTGTTTTTGTACGTCTGGCTGTCTGCCAATCTGCCGCCTCTTTTTCCTGTTTGCTCCGTTACTCTCATGCCCTGGCGCGTAGTACCTGGTGCTGGTACGTTACCCTTTGATTTTTTCTTTGGGCGGGTGTGGGAAGCTTCCTCCCTTTTTTTTTTCTTCTTAATATCACACAACAAGTCCATCTCTATCTAATTTTGATCGGTTTCCGAGGGCTCTTTTCTCGAACGGTCGGTGCGATACCTGTTATTTTCTTTCGATCATTTTGTTTTCTCTTCCGAGTGGTTTGTTCCCTATTTTTGTTTTGTTTTTTCCCGCGGCGTCGTATGTGCCGGGTTTTGAGACCACGGGCTCCCCAGTTTTTGTGGACAATAGAGCTAATGTGAGAAACAACAACAACAACAACAAACTACCACTTCTCTCCGTGGCACGCGAAAGCCTGTAAGCAGTCACACTTGGAAGTGGTTCCAAATTAGCATCGGGTGCAGTACCCAGACTTGAGCCTCGCCAACACCATGCGAATCTCCCAGTACTCCGCACGGGGTGCCAGTTCTTTAACGTCTTTCAGCCTCACAGAATCCCAACGCCCTGCAGCGCATGTCTCGCTTGCCGTCCCTGCCAGCGTTCCGTGTCTTCCAGCATCACCGTCACTCCAGCCGGCGCTTTCATCCATGCCGGGGTTGCTGTCGGTGCGGTTGTTGGCGGTGCTGCTGGTAGCGCTGCCGTCGTTGGACCCCGCCAGTCTCTGTGCATCGACGGTTGGACTTGCCGACTCCGAGTCCGTAGTGGTGGTGTTCGGCCCCGGCAGCACTACCCCGTCCGCAGAGTGCGAGGCAGCAGCAGCAGCAGCCACCGCCGAACATGGACCCTTGAGTACCGGAGTAGTGGGAGTGGTGTTATGGCCACAACTGGTGCCCACGGGCTCGACGGCAGGCGCGCTGCGACCGCTGGTCGTCGGCGTGGCGAGACCGATGCCATCGTCGACCTGCAGATCGCTCAGCGAAGGCCTTGAGTTGCTTGCCAGAGGCATCATGGGCGACACCGCGACGCCTACGTTCGTTGCTTCCGCCTTTGCCTTGTGGTGGTCGGGAATCTTGGGAGATGTTTCGGATGAGGCCGCTGGCGCTGCAGCTTTAGACGGACCACAGTCCCCCCCTGCTGCCGCTACTGCCGGTTGTTTGCCGCTACCCGCCGTCGCCGCCAAGAGAGCTGTGACGATCTCCTCCTCCTCGTCAGCGTCGATGCCGACTCGTGTCCAGTCGTAGGGAAGCCCAGCTTCGATGCAGTCTGCCAACGATCAATCGGTTAGCAAGGTCAGCTGCAAGCCCAGCATCGCAAAGTGTCAAGCGCAGAGAGGGGCGTGCGACAGCTGGACTAAATGGCATGTCGTCGTACCAACATGCTTTGGTGCAGTTTTGTATCAAACAACTTTCCCCGCCTTGAGAGCAGATCGTTTAAGAAAAACGGCGAGTGTCATTCAAGCAGGGACGACTGCAAACAACAAGTCGAGAGGCACACTTCAGCTCGTGGATTTCTGATGCTGCATGCTGTGCTGGAAGGTATGCAAGCAGTTTCGGATTATAGCATGGGCCAATTCAGCGGCGGATACTGGACAGCAGCACCATATCTATATCTTGCAAACGTGCGATGAAATCAAAACCAACCAACCTGAAAGGTATCCCCGGACCGTGTTGGCCTTGTTGCACCGCACCTCCGCCACGGCATCCACGGACAGCCCGTCCTCGTGCCAAAGGCGGTGCGTCTCAAGCTTCGACAACGGCAATCGCGGCCGTGCTTTCAAGCCAGACAGAGAGAAGGAGGCGAGAAGCGGACGGGCGAAAGGTAAGAACCAATGCTACCCGTGATTTGTGATTGTGATTCCAACAAGAGAGCAACAAATATTGCAGGGCAATTCGACTCCACGGGCAAAATTTTGTGCGCTTGGAGCGCCAAAGTGGGGGCAAAACACTGCGGTACCCTTCGGGTCCATTTTATGTTCGCACACCTTTTTTGGGTAAGTTAGCCTGTGACCACGGGAATCAACCCCGTCACGTGTTGGACTAGAACGGACACAAGAAGGTATTGGGCAGAGAAAACGGAACGCTTGTTAATGTGAAGACAACAACAACAACAACAACTCTGGAGTTGGAGTCTGGAGTTGAGGTAACATGTAGCAAGCACACGCGGGGACATACATGTTAAATTTTGGGCAAGAATCCTCCCTGCGCACTGGCAAACATCCACGTTTCATGCTTCGCGTTGCGGCGCACGCATGACCTCCAACACCGGATTTGGCGGCAGCTCACACTGCCCTTTTTACTCCGAAAAAAAGGCGTTCAGAGCAACATGAGCTCTCGAGGAACCAAGTGGGAGCATTGAGTCCCCGTCTATATGTCACCCACTCGTAGTCTCAGCGTTCCTGGAGGCAGTTGCCATCTCCTGCCCCCCCCGCGCCGGCCGCGCGTCGACCCCCCCACGCGCCTGGCCCTTGCCCTCACTGCACGCAGCAGCAGCGGTGCCGTCACACCTCCTCGGGCTACCTGCTGCCGCCGAGGTGTCTTCGACTCTGGACCCGTTCGCGTCGGACCTCTGCAGCACCAAGTCCGGCATCTCGTGCATGGTCTACGTGTACGCGTAGCAGGAGCGATACAAAAGCGTTACACACAACCGGGTTTAAATGCAAGCACGGCGTTCTTCCGAGGGACAAGGCGGACTGTCCATTCATGTTACCGTGCTGCGTTCTCTGTGTTTCCCGTTCAACTTTGGCTACCAGGCATGGAGGGAGAAGAAGCCGCACTTTTTGTGAATAAGCATCGCTTTTCATTTAAAAGTGTGACGATACACAACATAGAAATGGCAGTCCATGAGGACACATGGTGGCAAAACTGCGAACTACGTTGAGCGTCGTGCCGAGGCCCTCCATCAAGAGGCCGTCAACTCCTGTTTTGGCAACAACACACAAAAACGTCAACAGCTATGCATGCCGTACTTAAGTCTCCAGCTCGCACCAGCTACAGTAAAGTAGCTGTGAGAGCCACCACACTCGGAGCACCAACACGCACCTCCTACGCGTTTCTATCCATCCCAGTCTGACTGCGTTTCGTCACCGAGGCTTACTATTTTCCGATTCCCTTGCATGATAGACCTCTGCTGCGATTTCCTCAGCGGGCGTGGTAACGAGGTTTTTCAAGCTAGTCGCACATACGCACAACAACCAGCGAGCCACCTGCCATAGCCGCAAGCCAGCGTACGCATCCGCAGCGGCGTAGAAAAGCTGGTCAACACTGAGGGGGCGCTTCTCCCAGCTTCCGGTCCTCAAAGCAGCCGGCTTTTTCAGCTCCAGCTCCAGCACCTCGGCGCACAGGTCGGCGAGCGAACTCATTCCCCTTCGCCGCCTCTCTGGCGCTACCTGCGGGTCGGCCCGGTTTGTTGTACCCTTGAGACTTGATAACATGCGACACAAAGTGGGTGCCTGTGGCACTTATTATGTATCGAACAAACGCGATTGTTTCGAAGAGAAGTGGTGTCAGCCAACCGACTCGAAGAAGTATCCCAGGTGAATACTTAGCAGAAACCAACATTGGAATACACTGATGCTTTCACGCAGCCACGGAGTGGACACAACATATAATTAAACAATTGTGAGCATATGGGCTTTGTGTGAGCTCTACACAACATAATGATAATCAGTGGCTAAACTTTGTAATCGGTGCTGAAGTGGTCGGAGGGGGATCAGGTTTCCAGCCCCATCCCGTCGTAGCGACTATTCCCATCTGCGTGATCACCCGCGAAATAGGGATCCCATCCTTGAGACATGCCTGCAGCACCCCACTTCAACCTGTACCTCCTCATGCGCGAGGTCGGACTGCCTACGCAAACAAAGTAAGTTTATTACGAAACGAGACCAGCCAGGGGGCGCGCATACCCTAACCCCAACTTGCCCATTCTTATCATACATCCGTGTGTTTGCTTGCTTTGAAAAACCCGCGTGGACCACTGGTGAGGTCCCACAACATATTCGCAGCGTTAATGTCGCAAGCGGCAACGTCCGCGACACGTGGTGCAGCGCGTGTTACGCCGGAGCTACACCCACGCACCTTGCGCTTGGCAACCTCCGACAGGTCCACCACCCCCCCCACCCCGCCGCCCGCCCGAAGCTGGTCGTACTCCCTCTCCAGCCGATTCACGTCTCCCCCGACCCCTACCCCCGCCAGCAAGATGGCAGGGTTGGACAGCACTCTGACCAAAGAGTCAGGTAGACGCGGCGATGGTGCCGTTGGGCCACTACGACGGTGCTGTTCGTGCCCCCCCACGCTCTGTCCCATGCTGCTGCTGCTGCTGCTGCTGCTGTCCACGTGTTGTTTCGCTTCCGAGTGAACTGATGGCGATGTCGGTAACGATGACCGGACGGGGTCGCGCATGTGACACAGGTGAAATATGTAGGCTGTTCCCCATACCGGGCAGGACCCCTGCAGCCGCCGCCGCTGCTGTTGCTGCTGCTGCTGCGGCTGCTGTTGTTGCTGCTGCTGAGGCTGCTGGTCGGAGCTCGCGCTGAAAGTCGGCCCGCTGTTGGGGTTGGAAGCGGAGGTGCGGTTGGTCTGATTCTCCGCTGTCGCGACGGTGCACTTGGGGTATTGTGGAGCGCAAAGCTGGAGCGTGGCCGTCGGGCGTGGCGCCTGTACAGCAGTACAGTAGTAAGCAGTTGTACGCCAGATCGGCATGGAGGGGCATCAGAAAAATATTTTCTGCTTTTTGGGGCAAGAGGGATGCCGCTGGACCGTCCACTTGCACTGGACGTTGGAAGGGAGATAAATTCAACTCTGCTGTACTTCCTTTATCGATGCTCATCAAAACGCATGTATTTCGGCTGAGAGGGTGCTCGAGCACTTTCCATTATTGAACCTTGGGAGCCCTAGGCAATCTTTGGTTCTATGATAGGGTGCAAGGTCATCACCCACCGTCGAGCACACAGCAGGAAACCCTCGGGCCAACGAGCGAGGTTCGAGATATGAACTTCATACAGACTGCACCTGGAACACCAGGAGACTGCACCAAACCGAGGAGCGGCACCAATGACAGTAGCAGCAACTCACCTCTCCTGCTACGAAGGAGACTTGCCATTCGATGTCAAAGCCTAACACCTCTGGTTGGGCGGCCTCCAGTGCACGCGCCGCTTCGTCCCCGGCTTCAAATGACTATTTCGTGGGTTGCGGGAGGTGTACAGCAGTAGTACCAGAGTTGCGACCCGCAAGTAAGAAAAAGTGGTCAGCGTAGCTATAACGAGGCTGCGCTTTTCTCGCAAACGAAACAACACCACACCTCAGTCGTGGATCCTACGTGTGCACTAACCTCTACATACCTTGACCTATGCTCGACGGCGTTGACAGGACAGCAGCAGCTTGCTGTATACGGGAACAAGGTCGAAATCTGCAAGTTCACCACACAGCGTCTTCATGGGCCACCTATTTAGGCTCACCAAGTTCAGAACATTTAGGGCATCCGTCTTCTCGTCTACTCTACCCACGACAGGGGTGGTTTGACAGAGGGGGGGGAATTGGGAGATCGCGGGCGCAACAAGCCGGGAGCCGCAAAAAAGTGGCATTTAACAGTCACCGCGACATGTATCATATCCATACAAGGGCTGGAAACCAATTCACGCCGATGCGAGATACAGAGTGTGAGGACGAAAGGCGAAACCTCAACACCTCTTGAACACTACCCAGGTAGAGGCGTTTGCTGCAAACTGCTGTAACTGAATGCTATGCCCTACCTACCATGCACCAGGTGTACCATTCTCATCAAGCATCACTGATACGTTTCCCCAAAGGATCAAAAACGTTTTGTAAATAAAAAAAACGGTGGGAAACAACTGCCCGTAAAATAAAAAAATCTGTAGATTTGAAAACGAGTGATGTACTGCTGTAGCCTTCCTTCCATCTTCCATGACGCTTACAAAAAAATTATTCCTACATTAGACACTGCGTCATGTCCCCTGTGAAGGCTACTTTTTACAACACACGACACAACGGAGGGATTCTTCCCGACATTTTGTCGTTGACCCAGCAGAGGACAGGGGACGTATCGTAGAATGTAGGTTACCTATACAGATGTTTTTGCACTTCTTTACGCATGCAGTACCATCTGGCATCACTGATATAAATCATCAGTGTAGAAATAAGTCCAGTACCCAGCCGGTGTTCCTCCACTAACTGAAAAGACTCCACCACATCCCGCTCGACTGTGGGTATATCTCCAATGGGTAGTCTTTCTGTGCGTGTATTTATTTTTCCTTCAGTGGGGCGCACCCTGGTGATTACCGCTGCCTTCAGGATGCGGTGGAATCATGTTTCATGAGCCTCGGCGGCGAATTCGTGTGATATCTTATTTTCGCGCGCGTTTCGAAACATGGATACGTATGCCCCAAGACCAGGAAAAGGAGCACCACATACCCGAGTACCCGAGTATGTGAGACTTTCACATCACTGACCTGCACATACTCGATGTTGCCGTTGAACACCAACGACGGCATACCAGAAGGAACCCGCCTTTTGTTGCTGCTGCCGACCTGCTTGGAAGGGAGGACTCTGGTGGAACTTCCCTCGGCTGATGAACCGTAAGTCGGGATGAACAGACCGCTCATCGATACACAGTCGAGTTGTTGCAGAGGGTGCCGTCAATGCTGCCAAAACCTGTTTCGCTGCAGGCTGCTCTGTGCTGTCCCTGGCCTGCAAGACACTTCGTTGTTTGGTAGGGGCTCCGCAAGTGCACGCAAGGCCACTGCCGTGGGGGGTGCACTGCAACTGCGGCGCCCTCCGAGAAGTCTTGGATGCATTGGTTGTTGCGTACCAGCACCCCACCGTCACATCGCTGATCTTTATCACGCGCGCTGTCATCTCCAACCATCACACTTGGCATGAAGGTAAACTTACTTGCACTGTACCATTTTTGAATGTTTTGCATGTGTAGACTGCTGTATCAGCAGTTCCGCGGTCTGCAGTCTGCAGGATGTCGGTATCATACAAATGTACAGCAGTAAATGTGTCTGCTGATGTGGCCAGCTCTACTTACAAGAGGTGGGACGAAGTAATGTACTTCATGCGTCGAGAACACCATCAAGCCACATGCATATGCTTGTGGACCCCGTTGCCAAGTTCGATGTGCCGGTGCCAGTAGGATCCGTGCTGCTGCTCTTTACGTGCACCGAAGAAAATTGCCCCGTCCCTCCCCCCTTCTTTCACGGTACCATCTACACAGAGCAAGGTTGAACGAGTCGCAGACAACAGTGCGTGCTGGCCTAGGGAGCGTTAACCGAATTCAGGATGTCGGCACACGAAGACCGTAAGAGCACCCTGCACGGCACTGGAGACATGATACTCGATTTGGTGTGCGACCTGGCGACGCCTCGACAGTGTACCAAGTGGCTGCGGGTTACTCTCGAGCGCGCGGCAGGTGCAGGAAACGCTCCCTGGTAGAGAAGCTGCTGAAGGTTGGGGCGCGAACGCGAGCGCCGGGTGGAGGGGCTGCGGTGGTCGTACTCTGATGCACGCGGGTGCCGAAGGCGGAAGCGAGCAAGTAGTATCAATGCTGATGAGGGCAAGCGCCGGGAAATACATCAACGATCAAGCACCACTTTCCGTTCTTGCGCCGCTTCACCTTGCGGTTAGTGGCGGGAAGTTGGCTGCTACGAAAGTGCTCGTGCTGCCTGGGGCGGACGTGAACAAGCTCGATGCCGGAGGCGTTGCTCCCCTTCATCTCGCCCTCCAACACGGTCACGCGGAGCTTGCTCAGGTGCTTGTGGTCGGCGGAGCCGATGCCGACAAGCAACTCCGCAATGGCAACTATCCCATCGCTGCCCGCCGTGAGGAAGACGAAGTACTACGTAGTTTGCTGCACAAGGGGGCGAAGGTAGATCGCCGCGGTTTCGCAGGGAACACCCCGTTATGTAATGCACTGGACGTCGGTCACATCTCCACTGTACACGTTCTCTTGGCTGGGGGTGCCTCTGTAAGTTTAAAGAAATGGCGGCTTGGCTCCAATTCACGTAGCCGTGGGGTTTAACAATCCGGACGCCATCATTGCGCTCGCCAGGGCTGGGGCCGACATCGAAGACTCACATCGCCGGGAGACCACCCCTCTATGTGTGTTAACCTTCTCCATCAGCTATTTCGCAGCCATGCTTGCCGTCTTGAAGTTGGGAGCAAACCTCCATGCGAAATGCCCGCACAACGGGATGACCGCCTTGCACACCGCGTGCCACGTGGTAAACCCTGACGCCGCGGACCTACTGTTGACATGGGGCGCTGACGAGACTGCCGCCGACTGGAACGATGCGGCTGTTTCCGCGGTAATTCCTAGAATCGACGAACCTCCCGAAGAAAACCGTCCGGCAATCCTACGTCTGGCCAAGTTGCTGGAGTTCGCCGACAAGGACAGAACCTGGCGTCGCAGGGGCCTCCTGGTCATGTGCCGCGCTCACCCAGACAGACTGCTCCTGGCAGCGGACGTCTCCAACAATACCGCTGAGTCTGTCGGCGAGCTCAGGGAAGGCCGGAACTGCCGCACTAAGCGGGAGGAAGAGAGGGTCGAGACCGCGACGGGCGGCGGAGGCGTTGGCTCCGGGAGCGGCGCAAAGGCCTGGAGCAGCACCGCCCGTCTCACGGGCTCTGTCGGTAAGGCTGCTGTGTTTGAAGCAGGGTCCGACGGTATGGTAGCCTGGCTCACGACACAGACGAACGAAGGCGTCTTCCGCAACATCGTGCGGTTCCTGTAGCCTGAGACCAGGCAGGGTTCTCCTAAGCGCCGTCAGCTCTCCGTACAGCAAGAATGGGGAGGGTATGGACGCGCGTTTTTGCTACAAGTTCCCTTCAGCTGGAGACGCCCGCAGCGATGCCTGGCGTGGCCCCGTTTTTTTCGGATTTTGATGTGGCATCAACGCGCAACAATGGCAGTCGGACACGAACGTTGATCTTACGAAAATCGAAATAAAAATGCATAAAATGTGGATTGGTACCTCGCCTGTTGATCTTGTTTGTACGTGTATCATTTGTTTCGGGAGAAGCGAAATGAGGTATTGTATCGCCTGATTCTTGTACGTTGGAACTATAAGAATAGGAACCGATTGTTGTTTTGTTGTAGGGAAGGGTTGCGTTGGTTGTGAGTCGTATGACTTAAGTCTATACGATATATTTCTGTCTCTGGTTCGCTTTGCTTGGTGGAATTCCGCTCAAAGCACTGATGAAAAGGGGCGGCTGCAGGTTGCACCATCCTCCTCAAGGAGCAACCAGCAAGAGAGGTGTGACAATTTTGTGTACAGTAGGAGGGCTTCGTCGGTACTGATGGTTCAGCCTAGCTGAAAACAAAGTTTCTCTGCCTATTTACGAGAAAACAGAGAAGGTTGCGTGGAGCCGCGACTAGCTGCGTTCCTTTCCACAGCCACGTTTTCAGTATTTGCCTTGCCTTGACACGGTGGAAAGCGCTTGTTTGTGAGGTCACGATAGCGAAGGGACGGCTGCGCCCTTCTCTCATAGAAAAAATGGCAGCAGCTTGCTCTGTAGGAAAACTGGACTTTCTGTGTATAAACCTTCTGGGTTACCTCCAGACCGGAGCTTGTGAAAGAGACCACAAGCAGGGTACATTATGTACATGTAGGTGACATTTTTACCCTAACCCTAATGACAACCCCAAGCCGGTACAAGATCTATGATCACCACCACAGGGAATGTCCTTGTCCTCGCCACAAGACATGAAACAAAACTTTGTCCAGTCAAGGTACAGCAGTAGTACAGTGCCTCTCACGATTATTAGTTTTCGATTGCCGTCGAATGGGGAGTCCCCCGGGCGGGAGGACCGGCTAGGGAGAGGCTAAAACAAGCTGGAAGAGGGGGACCAGGTGTTTGAGGGTACCCGGCACTCTATGCTTCTCTGCGGGGACTATGGGGGATAGGTGGGTGGGTGGTACGGACAGTACGCCCCCCCGGCAGGGCACCACGTTATTTCCCTCCATCTCTTTCGCTCTCTGCGCTTCTTCCTTCCGACAAGAGGCTGTCCACCTCCGAAAAAGATCGCTGTCCACCTGTGCCAAAACACCCTAGCACACGCGCATGGACACCCGCCTTCCGCAACCCCTAAAATTTCTCTACAACTCCGACGATGCAGAGCCTCTCCATGGTTGACGATGAAAGAAAACCTCCCTGGACGAAGCATGCACAACAGCTTTTCTGTCCCCTACCCGAGATCTTTGGAATCGACTTCCTCCTTCCGTCAGTTTTGATGGCGACCGCTTCCGCGCAAGTCATTGCCATACCTAAATATCCCCTGGGAAGCACTAGGGGAAGAATGCTTAAGAGGAATTTATCGCCAGGTTCCCAGGCAGAAGCGAGCCAGCAGCCAAAAAAATCCCATGACGCAAATGACTACCCACCGCGTTGCATGCTCTACTCAGCCCCGCACCTCATCTGGCCGGTGGGCGGCGGTATCGCTCATGATGACTTGCGGGCTTAGTTGTCACCGATTCCGAGCATATCTTACTCTCCGCTAAAGGAACAAGAATCCTCTACTTGGGGCAAGGTCAAAGTCTTGCCATGCCTCTGGCAAACACATGGAATTTGCTGGCGTGGGAGGGGGTAACCCTAAACCGGACCGCACCAAACCTATCTCTAGCAAGGCCAGGGCAGCCCTGTCGCTTGCAAATAGCGAGGGCACCGCGGTGAACATTGAAATTCCGCGGGCCGAAGGCGCTTGGGGCTACCGGTGTCCCAACCCGCGTTACTTCGCAACTCCACAGATAGATCCGCCACTAACACAATGTAACTCGTTTTCCTCTCCTACCGCCGTGGTCGCCCTTCATCACCGCCCACTCGCGCCAGTCGCCCCGACTCCGCTTGCAACTATACAGATCGCCTAAAAAAACGCGCCGCTGCTTTCAGTAGTCGCCATTAGCTGTCGCATCACCTTCCACGCCCGCGAGCCACCCCCATCCCCCTCCGCCTTGAGCACCTTCATGCCCTGGGGACGCAGCAGCTTCTAGTGGATCCGCCGCTAGGCGTTCCTCGCGCAAACGCACGCGCTCCTCAGCTAAGGGGTTCTTGTCCTGAGGTGGTCGGCGTGTTGTAGACAACGGACGGTCACAATCGTGGAAGGGGAGACTCAGAAAGCATGGACTCAGAAAGCATGGGTGCGGAAAAGTAGGTTGCCCCTTCCCGCATCAGCTTCATTGAAGGGAGGTGGTGAAGGGGAAATTGGGCGCCCTCCGTCGCAACCCTCCGTTTGCGTGACGCATCACAACTGCAGCAGACAGCTAATGCTGGCATACCAAGCAGCATGCTCTCTAAAGAACGCATGGGACCTTCATTCGCCGTCCTCTTTTGATTTTCCACAGCAATGCACGTCTACTTGCCTTCCACGAGGCCGTGTTGACGTTTAACAACACACATTACAACAAGTGGATAGCACGTTGACAGCACAGGAACAAGGTGGCCTACACAGAAGGCCTATACGGATCGGGCAGTTCGTGTGTCGAACCTTTTGGATAGGAGGGTGATGTCGAGCCACATCAACGTCCACATTAAACTTTTCTCCCGTGAAATGCCGCTGCAAGGGAAGGATGCCGAGCAGGATAGAAAGGGCAGAAAGTCCGAAAGAAGCAGCAAAGGCAGGCGGTTCAGAGAGATCTTCCAATCGTGGCAAGTGGCGCTACGAAATATGGTGGGTGCCCAGGCAACCAAGTCGTGTCCGGTTCAATTGCAATCTTTCACGCGCGCTATTGTTCTACATCTTCCGCGAGTGCCTCAAAGGTGTACGGTAGCGCATTGCAGGCTCCCTCCACGCAAATAAAGCCCGGCATGTTGCACCGCTGTGTTGGTGTTTTGCCGAGAAAGAAAGCTCCAGCAGTTGTAGAAATGAAAAATCATACCACGGCTAATGCCCGGTGTTTGTGGGTGACCCACAGCAAGCCGGCACGCCACAACGCAGGTTCGTTCCGCAAAACTCGCGACCGCGGGCACCGCACGCCACAGACAAGGCGATAGTCCACTTGGTGCACATCGTCAGCAGACCTTGGTACTACTTCAAACCAATGCTGCTACGGATTCTTAGAAACCTCCTCGTAGTTTGCCCAAGCTGTGAAGTGGTGGAGTGCGATAGACGTGGTCACGGGGGCAGCCAGCTCCATCGGGGACTCGCTCGCCTGAGAAAAAAACGCCAAGAAAAATCGTACAGAGACAAACGTGAGTGTCTCAAGAAACCGCGACATCGTCTAGATAAGAACCGCTTCCATCGAAGCATTGCGATCGCGTAACGGCCAGGGGTTCAAGTGGATGTCTGCAACCATCGTGTACCGTGGCAAGCTGTACAAGTCGGGGAAAGGGGATGGCATACAACCAGAGGGTCAAGTGCTTGCGTGCGGTGCCGAGAGTGTCAACAGATTTCAGGTTCATTCCAACTGCTCCTACTGTAGATGCTTCAACAGACAACCGCGCCTGCCCAGGTCACCACTCTGGTCAATTCGATGTTCCAGGACCCCCTCCCAGCATCCGCTCACCTACCATTTCGACGTGCACGAAAAAATCGCACACGTCCAGCGCCTCGTGGTCCAAGCGATTGCCGTGTCCAACCAAAAACGCCGTGCTTTTCCGAAATGGTCGGCGACGCACGGCTGTCGAGGCTAGAACGGTGGGACGATCCTTCTTGTTGCTTCCCCCCAGCAATCTCTCCTCTGGAACGCGGCCTTCTCCTTGTGATGATGATGATGGTGACAAGGACGACGACGACCAAAGTAACCCTTCCTCGGAAAGTTCTGAAGCGGCACTACCGGCACCCTGCTCAGCGGCAGCCTTCTTCGCGAGAGGTAGGCTGGCAGAGGAGCTATTAACTCCCGGCTCGCTTTCTCCTTGCGCGGCGAAGTTCGTAGCGGAAGTAGTAGACTCTGGTGCTGATCCTGGCACCACGCTTCCCCGTGGAGGTGCTGGTGGCGGTGGCTCGCGACCCACAGGCGAATCTCGTCTTTGGGGTTGGATCTGGCTTTGATTTACAACGCCGCAAAGGTCGCAACCCTTTTCGTCTCTTAGGAAGGTGGCGGCCGTCTCCCAGTCATCGAAGCATCGGTACCGGAGGTGCTACCATAGACAAGAAAACAGGAGAGGGTATATAGATGCCAGAGTGCAAGCAAGAGGTAGAGGTCGGGTGCAGTCAAGTGGTCTCGATATTGCCGACTCGCCGGCGGTGGCGAAGAGGCCGAAGTTCGAAACTATGTGCACAGCGGTACTGCTGTGGCATGTTGCAGTAGAGAAAAGCCGGTGTTGCCATGCCACTGCGGGTACTTAGCGTACTGGTCTTGTGATATACTGCTGTACAAGGGGACATCAATACACCAATACTTGGGAAGTACAATGAGTAGGTTTCAGACACGTGCAAACTCTACTCCATTTCCACCGCTGGTCATTATCAGTCTACATTTTTTTTTTTTCTCCCATCATCGGATTCTGTCGTCTGCCCCTCTGGCCCCTATCCTCCACTTCTACTAGCTAGACGACCCAACTGGGGTGACACAGGAAAGGGGGGCTGGACCCCCTCCTGCGGTTCCTGCCTGAGATATTTATATCGCGAGAAGGGTACATTATCACCATCTGACAGCAGTCTAACGCGGAGCATGTTACGAAACGCGAACAACGCGTTTACGAAGGTAGGGTCAAACCAGAGCCCGTCCTGTGGCAGTGAGGGGAATCATGCTCCAGATGCAATGCTATGGCACCCTCCTCCTCCAGTTACTGCTGTATTCCCTACACAGAGTACTGCAACAGGATTTACATAAACCCATAGCGAGGAAAACATAGATGTGCCCGTCCTAATTTTTTTTTATTTTTTCTCCCATGATCGGATTCTGTCGTCTGCCCCTCTGGCCCCTATCCTCCACTTCCACTAGCTAGACGACCCTAATGTAGCAGTAAGGTAACTTCTACTCAATCGTTGTAAGTAAACTACACCAACCAGCGATAGTACACAGTGATTCTACTCGATGCCGATAGCAGCGCAGGGAAGGGTATGCACACCACATGAATGGAGTTGCGCTGCATTAAAACACGACGATTCCACAAATGATTTACCGCTTGGTGCTTGGAGAGATGCCGCACCTTGTGAGAGCCGTGGGCACCGTGAGTGCTCCATTTGAACGCCCCGACCACGATCACCTCCTCCACAGCAAACGCAGCACCACATCGTATCAAAGTCCCCAAGTTGTTCTTGGAGGATGGATTGGCGAGAACAAGGTACGCTACGGCGCTCATGAGATCTACAGCAGCATTATCTACACGCACTAAATAGCTAACACGCACAGCAGTGTTTGGTGGCTCAGCTTGCGGCCCACGGAACCCCCCCCCCCCGACCCTGGGGCTAATGATCTCCAAGATGCGGATGACAGTCCGGTGTCCGGGGTCCGGTGTCCGCAAGTTGGTGTCCGCAAGTTGGTGTCCGGTGTATCTTTCTTTCCTTTGCCATACGTCAATGAATACATGAAAAGTAGGGGCGTGCATGAAACAAGAAAAGATGGCTCGTCCATGGCTACCGCGGTACAGCAGCTTCCCTGGAGGAGAGTGGTACAGCAGTAACACATGTGCTGCTGAAGATAAAAAACTGAAAAACCTTGCCATGCGCGGTATACAACAGTCTAGTATGGTCTAAGTCTCTGGTTCAGGTCTACAACAGCAGTCCCTCTATTCTGTTCAGAGAAAATGATAATAGCGTTCCTTGGTCGCTTCACGGCTGCTCTGTGCGGCGCGCTATGTAGTTTATTGTGGGGTTGTGAACGAGCGTGTTTTGTGCATCCGGGCGGAGGACCTTTACTCGAGACACCCCGATAAATAAACTTGCGTTCAATTTACTCTCCAGCTATTGACATGTGTCCAGTAATTATCTCGTCTAGTCTTGACGTGTGGCACCGAAAAACAAAATCTGCAATGTTTCGCAGTGACGAGCAGTGAGCAGTGAACTCAAATAGTTGACGGCGAACGAGTTCGTTGATTTTCGTCTCGCCAAAGAACGGGAATGAGTACTTACCTGACCCTCCACCTCCACCTCATTCATCATGCACATGCATGCAGAGTCAGCATTGATGGTTGTTTTTGATTGGGAAAATAAAAAGAAACACACAAAGAATATCCGTTCGAGAAACATCCCGAGGTCAATGCGAGGATATAGTCTACGACAAGATTGAGCGAGACCCCGCTTCCTTCTCTAAGATAAGAGGAAAGGATAATGATGTTGAAAAAATAAGTAACGAGGTAGGACGGGGATGCTTGATTTACGGAGAGGAGCGACCGACGCCCATCACTTACACAGCAAGCCATACCAATAGGGCCGCAACGAAAACAAGCGAGTACAGCAGCCTGGTAGACACTTGAACCTAGTTTTTTTACGTTTGCTACCGTATTTCTTGTCTTTCATCTGGAGAGCAGTAGCTTAGCCTCCCCTCCCGCATAATGCCCCACCACGGGGTCCAAGATAATCGCCTATATGTATAAAAGCATAGACTATTCTGCTTTCAGCGGCACTGAGACTGACGTATTTTCAATGGTCAGTCGCTTAGCGCGGTCGACACCAACAGTGACGCCTCGCATATACACATGACAGCATACATAACTTGTGTGCAGCCGCGAAACGCAAGCACCACATCCAACCACATCCACCGGGGGTAGAGGGGGTCTCAAGGCATAAAAACAAGGAAAGATGGGCTGCACGAATCCCACTCCCTGAAACGTCACCAAAGAGAGACAAGGAACTTCAGCGTTGGTGGGAATAAATATCCACACCACCATCACTCAGCAGATGCGTCGACAGGTTGGTGTGAAAATTTTCTTCTTTTTTCGATCATGTTGGACACAGACCAATAAACGAAGCTAACTCATATCCCTACCCCCTTCTCAGTCTGCCACGTGCGTACGTACGTTACCAGACCACCGACCGCCAGATTCTACTAGCCCCAACCCCAAACGGGAAGTGGGAAGGGAGCTTTTCTAACGGAGCTGCTAGGAATTGACACAAACCGATACCACGAGCCTCCACCGGGGGCAAGGGGGAGAATGCTCGCCGCCGGCTGCGCCGAAATTTGGCACATGAAAGCCAACACCAACGTGGCACGATGAACACAAAGGACAAGGGATGGTGAACCTGATCTACTACAAGCGCGCGCGCGCGTGTGTGAAAGGACCGCAAGATAACCAGTCGCCGTACATGCTTCTTCGCGACCATGGGAGATGAGGCTAGCTAGCGAGGTACACACCGAGGCACTTACTGACAGAGACCATGCCGCAGGCCTACACCAACAAAATCGTCAACACCAAAGGACAAACACGACTCGTTTGGGCCGTCCGCCAACAGCCCCATCACATACTACACAATCATCCGGATGAGTAAGGGTTCAGGGCTTCGCTCTATTCCCTCCCCCCCCCCGTCATCAGTAACACATTTCACTCCAAGCATTCCCAACCACAACATTACCACCCAACCATATGCATGATCGGCACCAGCCAGAATCGCGCCACACTCATGAGCGCGCTAGTGCTTTTAACCAGGACACCCTTCTGCCTACAAAATACCCTTACCCTTACCGAGTGGCGTTTTCGGCACTTTCAAGATGTACCCAAGCTGCAAGGGACGAGTACAGCCAGGGTCGCTAAGAGCAGCAACAGACAGAGTACCAACACACTACGACGTCATCGTGAGACAGAACCTCGCCACCCGAAAGTTCCTAACAACGGGGTCGACAGGACATTATAAAAGAAAAATTCTCCGAGTCTGCGCATACTCGAAGCAAACAAAAAACGCCAAAATAAACATACAATACACTTGCGGTGGAACAAGGCATGGGGCTTGACCAAGCATGTACCCTTTAGCCCGACGCCTATTTAAAAATCGACATATTATAGCATATTGCTCTCTATAGTTTGAGCGCCAGGAGCGCGCGCTAATTCCTTTCACGTCAAACAACACAACAGAAACAGCGCGGGGGGAGGGGGAGCAAGAGTACGAGGAGCATGCACCAACAGATCCAACCAAGGAACTACACGAAAATTTGTGTAAAATATGTAGAGACGTACATGACATGCACGTGCCGGCTTGACGGGGGGTGTAAAATGAATGTTACCACAGTTTGAGGAGCGGCGGTGCCGAGGCCGTCACAACAAAGCACTCGCTAAAAAATGATTTACACAAGAAAAACGCACATAACATTGTATAAAGTACCTGTGAGTCTAACTAACAAACTTCATGAGCCAACACGGCTCTACTCTCAACACGCCCGAGGGACAGCAATGAGACTATGGATGCTTGAAACCAACCCAAACAGATCGACCTATCATCGTCGTTCATCCTCCCCCTCCACAGCAAAAGCACGACCTCGGATCTACAGTACCTCCCGAACGACGGAACAGCAGCATGCATCACGCGAGAACAACAAAAACAACAGCAGGGTAGATGCGCACATGCCACGGTAACTACAACCTTCGATCGACACGCAAAGCAGCAGCCAACCAGAGTTAACAGACACACTCCACGACGCGACGCAACTCTCAACTTCAGGGGACACAAGCGTCGTCGTCAACAACCATCAAGAAAGCAACCCTCACATGTTTTCATTTACACGGGCCTCGCGGACCACGCGAACGCGTTCGGAGCGCCGGCAGGGGAAAGGGCGACCGCGCGTGGGGGGAGGATGCTGCCCACGCCACCCTTCGGCATGAGCGAAGAGGACGGGGTCGTTGAGAAGGGCTTCTTGCTGATGTCGAAGATGATGTTGACGCTCCCGCCGTTGCGCACGGAGCGCACCCCGCCGCTACCGCCGCCGCCGCCGACACCGCCGCAGCGCCGCCCTCCCCCAACCCCCCCCGCGGCCACCTGGGGTTTCGGCGACAAGGCGTTATTCATGTTGCCGGGGAGCATGTCGGTGGGCTCCCACTGCGCCAGCCCATCCCCGCCTCCGTCCTCCCGCTGCGGCGGCCCGCCGGCGTTGACGGAGACAAAGTCGGGGGTGGTCTTGACGAACTTGCCCTTGACCCGCGGGCGGAGCAGCGCGGCCTTGGGGCGGGAGCGGGACGGCGAGGCGTCCCTCGTGGACTTGGCGAACTTCCGGCGGGAGCGCTTGTACAGGTACCTCTGGATCTTGACGCGGCGCCTCTCCTGCTTGGCCAAGTCCACGGGGCCCCCGCCGGCGCGCGCCGGCCCGCACGAGAGGGGAGTTTCCAAGGCGCGTTTGCCGTTGCCTGACGACGGCGTCTTCTTAGGGGGCATGCTCGCCGCCGCCGCCACCGCCGGTGAGGGCGGCGTAGGAGCGGTCCAAGGAGCGGTCGTGGGAGAATCGGCGGTAGGGTTGTGGTGGTGTTTCTTCTTGGGCTTCTTGTCGGCGCGGGTTATCTTGGGTTGCCGTCCCCGCGAAGACGGCGCTGCTGGTGCTGCTGGTGCTGGCGGGGACAGGAGGGGTGTTTTCGTCCGGAGGGGAAACTGAGCCTGCTGCTTGGCCTTGGCGCTGCCGCCGCCGCCGCCGCCGCTAGCGGAAGGAGCATGGAGTTCCCCTGACAACTCTCCAGCAGATGGCGACGACGACGGCGCCGGAGGCGATGAGGAGGGTGAGGGCGGGACCGGCCAGTGGGGGATCCCGGGGATCATGGCGGCGAGTTTGTCGAAGCTCGGGCGGCGCGGGCGCGAAGAGGGCAGGATGCCGCCGATGATGTCATCGGGATGGTAGTCCGCCTGGTGGTCTTCGTCGCTCAGGCCCCGTCCCCCGGTGCCGCCCCCGCCGTGGTCTCGGTCTCCCGCATTATCGTTTTCCCACTGTCGCTCCTGCTTGGCACCGAGGCGACCGCCGCCACCGCCGCCGCCGCCGGTGCCAAGGAAGCCCAGGCCCTGAAAGTTGTCGCTCGACAAGCTGGGGCCTCCTCCTCCTCCCCCGCCGCCCGCGGCGTACACGCCCCCGCCGGCCATGGTCGTGGTCCCGCCGCCGCTGCTGCAGGGCGTCTCCGTCGAAGCCGCGATGCTGCGCCCCACCTGCGACCAGGTGTTGCGGAGAGACGGCGCCGACGGCAGTATGTCCACCGCAGTTAGCCCGCCGCCGCCGCCGCCGCCCACCTGCACGGGGGGGGGGAAGGAAGGATCGCGACCGAACCGTGGCCGGCCGAACGGCGGCGGGAAAGATGGCTCCCGGGTGAGGCACGTGTTGTCCATGAGGGTGGGCGGCAGTGGCGCCATGAGCATTTCCAGCGCGTTGGAGCCCAGCGCGGCGCCGCTCTGAGTTGTGGCTCTCTCGGCGGCGCTGCTGCTGCTGCTGCCGCTGTTGCAGGTGCCGACCATGTTGTTGGTGCCACGGTTTCGCCCTGCAGTTGCAGTGGCGTGGGGAGAGGTAGCAGACATGCCGTCTTCAGGGTCCACGGACATGACGAGGCTCGAGACGCTCCTCAGGATTGGGGCCATGTCCGGCAAGGGCTCGTCATTGTCATCCCAGGCCATCGGGGTAGAGGTTGCCGCAGCGGGAGCAGCAGCCGAAGTGCCACCAAAACGCATCGCCGTGGCGGGGAGGGGGAAGGGTTGCTGCTGCTGCTGCTGCTGCTGCTGCTGCTGCTGCTGCTGCTGGTCTCGATTCGAAAAAGCGCTCCAGCTCTTGAAAGATGCAACTTCGCGCATGCTGCCAACACGGAGAAGAGAAGTGCAAGGGACGCCAGTGCTCATGATCAGTTTGGCTGCGCGAGGCGAGGTTGTGCCGTTCAAGCTAAACGCGTGAGTGCTCCTACTGCTGCTGCCGCTGTTCTGTTCTTTTATCTATCGTTGGCGTCGGCCGCGCCGCTGCAGAAGCAAAGGTCGGAGAGGGGGGCGGACACGATGGAGGGAGCGAAAACGGGAAATCGGGGATTTCGCAGAAGTCGGCAATTCCAGCTTTCTCACCCAAAGAGGAGCGATGCCGAAGGAGGAGACGTCGCAACGGTATGCACACAATCCGCAGGAAGAAGCTTTCCCGTATGGTGTTTGCCTTCTCCACGGCACCAGTTTGAAGGATTGTGAGCAGGGCGGCGTTGAAGCTCAAACATTATTGTGCGTGTGCGCTGTGCGCCCACAATTCGATGGAAGTATATTATCCCTCCGCAGGAACCTTCCGTGAGACTGCGATGGTTATTATGACAGTTAGCCCGGAAAGGGGTTCGGGGTATATCGGAACGCTGGTGTCAGCCAAATCTTCGGTGGATGGCCTCTTTTTGTGGGTTGCACAATGACCACGGGATCGAGCCGCGACCTCTGGCTTTCCGGAGGGAGGCGGGGTAAAAAGACGGGCCATCTCGCTCCCTTTAGTAGTCGAGAAAACCGTGCAACACACACGAACGTACATATTTATTCCGGGTGTGTCGTGGCGAAGATGAGAGAGCTAGATATGTAGGCAGGCCAAATTTTTTTTCAACCCAAACGACCCTTGCAACCCGAAAACTGGCTTCACAAATCGGACAAAACATTTGCTGCTGTAGAACATCCATTAGATAGAAGACGAGGCTGATTTTGCCCGGTTTTGTAACCAAATTGTACCATGGTTACCCAACAGTCATCTTCGGCAACACCCCCGAGCCTCCTGGAGCAACAATAGTTTTGTACAAAAATCGTAAATATTCGGATTTTTCAGAACACAAAAATTAAGATCCGTTAATTTTTGTTCGTTTGAGGGCTTCTCCGCGTGTCAATACACAAATGTTTTACCAAGAGTCAACGCTTCCAAACATGATCACTCCGAGCAACCCTTCCACACTCGGAGCGTCAGCAGTGGCCGCCGTAAGCTTATCTAACGCCGGGCACACACACGAGGAAATTTTTGTCCCCACATGCACGTACGTACCTGAAAACATGTTACATTGATTGATGGTCGTCGAAGTTTGGAGTACAACGTACATACCCCGACACATGTACGTACAACTGACGTGGACCTCCGTGATCAAGGGCCAACAGCTCAACGGAGGGTTCGGAGCGCGTTCATGCAGTATGTACGCTTCAATAACACCAGTACAAAATAATCAGGACTTGGAACAGAAAGTACTTCTACTTTTGTCACCACCGGTGTTGTAGAAAAGAACAGAAAAAAAAAAGTAAAAACGGCCCTGAGGCAGGGATTGAGAATTGGGGAGCACGCACATTGTTTGAGAATTGGTCAATGCTACGCTGGCAAGTGGAGTTAGTTCCCTGCATAGTGCGGGTGTATGGTAAGCGAATTGACTCTCTAGCTTCCTGGGCCGCCCAAAGAAGCGGGGTAATTGAACTACTTGATCGATGCTTCCATCTGTTCCAGCCAATTCCACCAGCGGCGCACTAACACGGGAGACCACATACTTAGAGCACAAATGAAGTGCTGCAAGCCTGCAACGAGGCAGTGCCTTGCTCCACCCAAACAAGCTCGCTTTTACTCGGAAGAAAATGGGGGGAATCAAACCCACTAATAGCGGTCGATCTTTCCCGCGTGATCCCGACTTGTGGGGCCAGAAAGGTGGACTAGACTCAAGTCAATAATATATGCATACATATCACACAGCAGCGCCGTGGCCACCACCTATCTTAATCCTACCCGCCAACAATCCGGTACGTAAAAGGTAGGACCCGTTTCTATTGGTGGCAACACAAGAGTCATCACCAGGTGTCGAGACCGAATGTAATGGTGACAGAGAGTGACCCAAACATGGAAAAGCGAGAGTCAACCGAAACTGATTTGGCACTGAAGCAAGGCTGAGTTTCAAAGAACCCCCCCTGCTATCCACTACCATAGACGCCCAATACATGAAACGACCCACAACACCCAACCGCAAGTATCAGAAACTTGATCGACCCTTCTGTACTCATCTTGCGTGCTTCTCTCATTCCTCTCCTTTCCAACCGAAGTGATCCTTTGCTAACTTAGCCTCGAGTAACGAAACAGAGCACCGTCAGAACTTTGTGCCCTCGGGGGTGTTCAGCTCAAAAGAGCACCACCGCACGCAAGACGAGCAATCGCGGCCTCGACTCATGCCGGTAACCACGGTGCAAAGCTATGCAGAGAGCTGCCGCACACGACATGAAAGAAACAACGCAAGCGATACCCGAATTTACACACCATGGCTGCTACAGTGCTAAACAGGAAGGCACGTGTCAACGAAGAAAAAGAAGAAAACACAGGTTGCGTCGGAATGCATACACACTAATCGGCGAAAAGTCCTTCAAGATTCCATACTTGTTTGCCACCGACATGCGCTGCAAAGAATGATACTACGGGGCCCCTACGCCAACAACAAAAAAAAACACTCGGAGAGACTATCTCGCGTCGTGCGGCCAGCAGTGAGCGGCGGCCTTTGCAGCGCAAACCAACCACGCTTTCGCCCCAAGGACACCTACCCCCTCGCACTTGAATCAGTGGGGGCTGGCGCTACCGGCATCACTGTTGCGGCGGCTGTTGCTCTGACCGCCGCTGCCGCCGTTCATGGGCGGGCTGCTGTCACGGTGTCCATTGCGCTTATCGGCCTGATCAGCAGTAGCAGCAGCAGCGGCAGCACCGAAGCGAACGAAGAAAAGGAAGGAGAGGCGTGGGCCATAGTGTATTTTGCTCAACGGGTTGCCGCGTTGCGGTGGGCCTTTGTCGCGCAGTATTGTTCTAGATTCAAACGCAGTAGTAGCGAAGACACAAAAAGGAAGTGTTTCTCCGATGCAGAATACAGCAGTAGGGCCATCCATCTGTGACAACTCTTAAATCGGCAACGGGATCATGAACACGTTGTTCAGCCTCGGAAAAAGCCTTCAATCTTGAATCAAGACACCAAATTTGCAATGCCCCACAGGCTGAACGAAGCACACACACGGGTGACCACCACCCCCTCCCTCGGCAGGCGAACCAAGAAACAATAAAACACCCAACCCCCACCTCGCCGTCCCTGCCGCCATCAGCACTGGAATCGCGGCGGTCCCTGCCTCTCTTGCTGTGCCCGCCGCCGCCGCCGCCCTCTTCGCTGCCGTCCCGGTGCCTGCTGCTGCGCTTGGCCGCCGGCGAGCGGGAGCGGGAGCGGGAGCTAACCCTTGAGCGGGAGCGGCGGCGGGAGTAGAGGGGCGATCTGGACCTTGACCGGCGGCGGTCGCGGGACCGCTCGCGGCGGGGAGAGGCGCTCCTGGATCGGCGGCGGCGACGGTCCCTGTCGAGCAGGGAAGAGAAAGGGGGGGTAATCATGGAACTGCATACCGTAGTCGGTTTTCCATGGATCTCGCATCCCTACAATGCCGGGACGAAGCGAGGGGGGGAGGAGCATCTGAGAAGCCGTGTCGCCAAACACGATTCAACCATTTCCAACCAAGCCAACCCCCACCACCGAAGACGTGCGCATTCCAGGCGCCGCGACTATTGTGTGCGTTCGAATTTCGCCTACAATGTTCCTGTGAAGCGGCAAGAGATCTCACGGCCCAATAGTGCGGGGCGGCCGCGCCCCTGTCTTCTGACGAACTAGTAGAGCACCATATTCTCCCGCATACGTACCCAACAACTCTCCTCTTGGGTCGCTACCGCTTCCCCCTGCCGCCATCCCAACAAGCGTGTTTTCATATCTACAAGGAATGTTAGTTTTATGGCATGTACGAGGGGACACGTGAGCATAGGGGTTTGTACCTCGAGCGGCTGCGGCTGCGGCTGCGGCGGCTGGAGTGGCGGTAGTCGTCACGCCTGTCGTAGCGCCCCCCACCGCCACCACCGTATCCTCCTCCTCCCCCATAGCCATATCCACCGCCTCCTCCGTACCCGCCGCTGGCTTCGGGCCTCCTCTTCTTGGCGTACTGCGCGAAAGCAACAAAAATATTTCAGACGTAGTTGAAAATCGTGGCGCAGAGACGGCTGGATCGAAACGTACGTGGCTACTTGGCAAGGACAGCAGTACACGAGAACAATACAAAGTAAGCAGATGACGCGCATCATGATAGAATAGACAGAAAAACTAGTGCTCTCTCTGTCACAAACAGTAGTACGTGGTATGTATCATCTCCACGCGCCTGCTCTTTGTCGGGATTAATACCGAGCATGCGTACACCCCCATCACGCTACCATTTTCGGGCGAACACGCACAAACAGCCAGCAAAAAAAAGAAAAAACACAGATCCAGCACACAGACACGTACGCACGGTATTATCCATCGTCCCTTCCTCTTGCCCCCCGGACAGCCAAACCAACCTGGATCCGAAGCTCCCTGCCGGCGAAGAATTCTCCGTCCATGCGGTCGATGGCGTCATCTGCGTCCCGCTGGTCCATGAACCGCACGAAGGCGAATCCCCTCGGCTCTCCGGTGCGCAGGTCCCTGGGCATGTAAACGTCACCAAGCTCGCCATACCTTATACGGGAAAACAATGTACCGGGGGCGGGAGGAGATGCTGGGTCGGTTGCAGCAGGCCACAGCTTGGTCATATTCATCGGGCGCACGCGTCGTGGCCGTGAATGCCTCTCGCGCACGTCGTCCACCCTAGCCGCTTTGGGTCAGTGTTGCTTGCGTGACGAACGGCAGAAAGAGATCTCGCTCTTTTAATCTCTCTCTCCGAAGAAGCTGGAGGGATGAATCAAACGTAGTCGAAGCAGTGAAAACCCTATTATACAACGACTGCCGTACACGTTCTTACGGTACAAATATCGGAGGGTTTTCTCCGCGCATCGGAGAAGGGAGACACAGCTTCTTCTCTGTCGTCCCGCCCACCCGACTCGACAGACGCAGCAGCGGTCAAAACCGGGTACACGCGCGAAAGACGGACACAAGTCCCGGATATGCGGAACGCCGCACCGCCACAACGCGAGCAATCTTACGGGCGAGCTAGATTACTACGGTCATACGGTCATGCTAAATGGTGCTTTTTATTGGATCGACCAAACACATATCAGACGCCGTAGGACGAAACTCAACATCAACACCGGCAGCGCGTCGAAAGGCTAAAGCCAGACACTCCTTGTTGCAAACACACCGAGAAAAGGCAAGGAAGGAAGCACTTTACCTCGCGTCACGCGCGGTCGGGTCGGGTGGCGGCGGCCAACGATCACATCACGCGGCAGCCAGCCGGCCAGTCAGCCACAAAACGCCCGACCCTTCTTCACCACCGTTCTCAAAACGACACCCTCTGTACTTTTCGTTCGTCTGTACTCGGCTCGACTGGTACTCGATTTCGGCAGTATGCTCGCTTAGGTCTCTGTCTCTCTGTCTCTCTGTCTCTCTCGCCAGGTCAGGATCAGAAAGGTCAGGATCTGAACAGGAACATACAGGATCAGATGACGGTCTGACTCGACTCGACTCTCTTCACTGGTTGATGTCAGCTTTGCTCTCGTTCTCACGCCAGCAGCCTTGGTCCCCTCCCTTCACGGAAAACCACCATCATCACCATCGACCTCGACTCGATCTCAACGTTGGCCCCTCACCCCAGGTGCTGCAACCCCCGCACGCTGTGAACAACACCAAAATTCTGGCGCCATCACCACCCTCACCCACACAGACAGGTCTCCCTCGTCGTGCGTTTCGATCGTGACAGTGGTAGAGGTCAGGTCAGTTCAGGCCAGGACACCAAAGTAGTCAGGATACTTTCGTTTTGTTGGTCTCGCGTCTGCTACATCATGTACCCAGCAGTCCAATCGGTTCCGACCATGGGCAGGTGTAGGACAAGGCGAGAGGACGATGGCGAGCAGACGAGTGAGGCTGAGGTGACGAACCACTATTTGTTGTACTAATTCTGGAGCAGCTTGATCCGCCTCGGGTCCAAACCTCGGCAAGGCGCTTGGCCGTTCGGCTACCACTCACGCACATAGGTATGTACATAGCTGCTATATTGCAGTCTGCCTGCCCCCGTTGGAAATGCTACAGATATGGTGTAACAAGGAGACAAAGAGCACAATACCTGAGGAGTAGAGTATACCACAAGCCGAGGGTAAGTGTGGTCAGGACCCTTTCGGCAGAGGCTTACTCTGGACATGGTCGGTGGGCAATCAAAACGCGTGCCTAAACCGAAGTATTAAACCACCCGATCCAGCAAGACTGCGCCACAGAGAGGGGCGGGGTATACGGTCCGTTCTTTCCCGACGTGGCGCCAGCACATGCACCAGCGTGACGCTATCGGCACGCGGCAGCAGATCGTCGCTGTTTTCTAAGGCCCAGGCTTGAGCCATATCGAGCAGGAATAAGTAGTGGCAATGCCACTTGACAGCCGACGCCGACTTTCTGGGCCGGAAAACTCTGAACAGCACAAAGGGACCCACATGAACTCGTAAAAATTGACACTTGACACCCGGGTACAGGAAACTCGATACACTTCGTAAGGCACTCCCTATCGTTCGGGTACGGACATTGCTTGCTTGGAAGTTCTTCAGATGGCACTTCCAAGACAGAGGTGAGCGTTGAAACAGCAGTAGCACTGACTGCTTGCGACCAGAGGCACCCGAAAATATTTACGGATAAGTACGTCATCGTTATGACCAAGCCGCGTGCTTACTTTTCGAAGATGCGCCTGAGGTCATCGATGCTCGAGTTGTAAGGTACGTTGTCCACCTTGAGGGTGATCATGCCCTCAATGTTCGGAGGCCCGTTCCTGTGTACACCAAGGTTTCAGAGGAGCAAGAAAGAAAAAAAATGGACGACGAGCGGACCGCATGGTTGGCGTGCTGGAATGCGCGAAACGCACCACAAATATTTAGTCCATCATACATCGAAAACTGTACGATTCGCCCGTTTTCTTGAATAAAAGACCACTGCAAAGAAATCGCGACATCAGGCAAACGCTGAGGAAGCATGAGGCAAACGACAGGCTAAGTCGATTGGACCATGCGTTCGACAGCATGCATTCGAATCGTGTCCAGACCAGAATGTGCGGCTGATGTGAACGCAAGATCTCTACGAAGTGTTCAGGCTTCTTAAACTTGCCAATAGGCATCCATCTGTTCGTCGCTTAAATAAGCACATAAAACCTTCTTTTAAGACTCTTTTCGGGTCTCACCCTCTCATGCCGGGGTCGCCGAAGAAAGTCCCATCACGTCGGCCACTCATCGCACAAGTACTACTCTTCTCGTTCTTGACAGGTACCCTTCTGCAGGTGCGAGGGTGCCAACACAACGAGGGTACAGGCGACAGGGGACACACAGCGAGATGGCAGAGTTGTAACCATCGAACAAACCGGCGTGCATGAAAATCGGCGCGTTGGTGCAAGTCCGACCGAGGCTTGGTCGTGGTTGTATTTGGGAAGGGTTGGGATCAACCTGCGTTGGTTTGGCACAACATTCTTTAGCGATGCTGTCTAGAACAAGGGCTTGAAAATCGGTAAGTTGACATTGCATTTCCATGAAATCAATCTTGACTCCTTCGAGCTTTCAGGCAACTACGAGAGTCTGCCCCAATCCGAGGCATGCCCTCTAGCCCAAGACGCATCACATTCCCGTCATCCCCATGCACCAACCGTCCCTCGCAGTTTTACCCTACAAGCACGCCCAACCGGGAAGATTCCAGGAGGGCTACAGCACCACCAGCAGGAGGTGCTGTCGCTGCCACGCTCTCGCAGCAATCATGACAGTGCGTGACCCGGATCTTTGAGCTGTTGCACGCAACAAATCCATTGCTGCTGCACTCATGGCAAAAGACGGAAAGGACTTTGGGGACGATCTGTACAGCTGTACAAGACTGTACGAGCAATGGGATTCCAAACCAGGAGATTGATCTATCCGGCGTTCGGTAACAAAGGAATTCCTATTGTGGGGGGCCGGCCCGCCGGGCTTCTACTCTTGCGCGCGTGTACCAGCTACAAATCTATGGATGGATGTGTGGTGAACGCCGCCAGGCAGGGAAAACGATAGCATATTGTGAAAAACAGCACAACCGAAGTACAAGGACTTCGTAGAAGTTAAGTGTTGCTCAGCCGTACCATGAAGCCTCCACACACAGCTTTATTTTGATTGGTTTCCGAGGGCTCTTTTCTCGAACGGTCGGTGCGATACCTGTTCTTTTCTATACATCATTTTGTTTTCTTTTTCCGAGAGGTTGGTAACCTATTTTTGTTTTTTTTCCCCGCGGCGTCGTATGTGCCGGGTTTTGAGACCACGGGCTCCCCATTTGTTGTGGACTTAGAGCTAATGTGAGAAACAACAACAAACACAGAGACTGATCGCATATGGGAGTGGCCAAACCTCTAGACAGCAGTGTCGGATGTGTCATGTGTGCATGTCACAGACCAACAAAAATACAAAATCCACCCTCTGGACAACTCTGTAATACCGTACCACTATCAAGGGCCGCATGCACTTCTAACGAGGGTCCCAACATCGGTCAGTAGATTGTAATCTAATCGTTTCACCGGGCAGCGGGTAAAATAATTACATGGGACATCAAGAGTACGTTCTTACAATATGTGGAGTAAGAAACTCAGAAAAAGAGAGGACGCGCCGGGAGGAGAAATCAATGCTAAGAGGGTATGGAAATCTACCAGAGAGCAACCACTCACGACGCCACGAGCAACGTAAGGCCCTCTCGAGTGCTGTGGTTGTGGGTCACAGAATGTCTTCTTCCGTCCCCCATGAACGGTCCAGACAGGTGTAACAGGCTTTCGTCTCTCTTCGTTGAACCACCCGGTGGTTAGAGAGTCGAGTGCGCAAAGATCGGTGGCGCCGTCGCCGGAGAAAAAGCAGCCAACAGCATCTTTTCCCGTCACCCCTACCCCTTTGCCTTTCTTTCCCCCGACCGCACCACCTACCTGGCGACCGCGAAGCTGTGATGTCGTGAGACAACTGAGCTGATTTTGGCATGGCCATGCCCGGCGCGCGCGCGGAAAAGCTGTGTTAAGGGGCGCCGCGATTTGTTTTCTGTTTTCATGCATACCCCGTCGCTCTCCTCGGTGAAGCAACAAGCCCAAGTTTTTGTACACTCATTGCTTGCTGCTTGTTCCGCCAAAAACTCGCCAGCCATGTCGATGTGGCGAGGGTCTACGGCGGATGCCATCCTCCAAGGGGACCACAGGCTCGATCTCCGAGATAGAAGCCTATCTACGCAGGATGTTACTGCCCTTGCAAAGCTGCTTTCCACAAGCAGCCAGGTGTCTGCCCTGATCCTGTACAACGTGCGCTTGAATTCAGACGTGAGTGCCACCTCGTTGATACACATCACCCTCTGCCGCTTTCGCGTAACAAGTGGAGTCGATGCGTGTATGCGGAGCTTCTGCGTTAAAACATGAGCTGTAACGCAAAAACTACTGCTATGTTTCGATGTGTGCAAGTGCAGTGATGAATGCATACGTGACTGCTGTCGAGCGTACACCGGTAGGCTCACACCTACATGCTCGCCTGCCTCCGCATTCAATGCCACGTGCGTCGTCTCAGGATGCTGTATCGTTGGCGAGGGCGCTGGAGTTCAACGACACGCTTGCGACGCTGAACTTTACGCATAACCCCATCGGCGAGGTACGAGAACAATCTTTTTGGCGGAACGAAATGCAATTGTCCTTCACGCCCCAGCGGCAATGAACGCCTTGAACTCCAGCAGTTGTATTCTGCAAACTCAAACTTGGGCGCCGGGGGGTTTCAAGGAGCGTTTCCGATGACTGTACAGCAGCAATGGCTACGTTCTTCATAACTGCTCGTTGGCGTGCCTCTCCCCATTCTCGCGTGTTGTACAGTTGTGCAATGCGCATGTCCTGCTACACGGGATGGTGCAAACATGGGTACTGCCCAGCATGCACAGCCGAGATTTGGTAATTCCGCAGGCTGGCACACCCTGTGTACGCAGAAAAGCGGGAGTCACGGATTGCTCTTACGCTCTTAACCCTTTTGTGACTACACCCCTCCTGAGTGTCGATAAGAGTGTTGTTA